CCCTAACACCCTGTTGTTTCTATTTAATCCTTGGTAATTCGGTTTGTTGTCCTAACACCTGGCAGTGTTCCTCTGTGTAAGCGTTCTGTTTTTTAACTTCCTGTTTTAATTTATTTCTTTCCTTCTCCCGTGCCTTAGTGTTCTGTGATTGTTTGATTCAGCTGTGTCTTGTTTTCCAGCCGTAATGACTTTCCTGATTCTGATTGGATTTTGTTACTCTCTGCCTGTGACCTTTAGTTAGTGTAATGTTTTTGCTTTGTTTTTGTTTTGTTTGGGTCCTTATTCTTATCCGGGGGACGGGACAAGGAGCCCAGACCTCCCTCTCCCTGCCCACCTCCTTCAGGCTATCTGGCTCCTTACAGTTTAAATGAATGATGATTCTAGCAAAGCACATGAGGCTTTAAAACGAACAATACTTTGTAATAAAAACAATACAAACTATACAATTAAGTATAGGTTCTACCTTACAGTTACAATTGTAGGGTTTACCTTACAATATAAAGCACCTTGAGGCGACTGTTGTTGTGATTTGGCGCTGTATAAATAAAACTGCATTGAATTAACAAAGCTCTGAAGAGGGTAATTAGATGCAGTATATATAAAAGGGGAGATAATCATCTGTGATCCAGTTACAGACCAATTTTTCTGCTTTCCCACAATAAAGAAAATCATTATCATTTAAAGCTTCATCTTTCTTTTAGAAAGCTTCCTGTTTATTGCTTTCTTGCTGTAGTCATGTGCAGGGGAAGGCTAACACCACTAACACAGAACATCAAACCCACCCAAAGTTGTTATTTTTTGGTCGTTTAGGGAGTGTAAGTTCTGATTGGGCAGGCAGCTTACAGCCCACCTACAAAGTGTCCCACTCTCTCACCCACCAACATGATCAGAGACACAAACAGACAAAGGAAGAAGCAGTGCTGTCTGTCCAAGCGTGCAGAGGTGTTCAGCTGCGAACTCAAAGCAAGGCAAACAGGTAACACACACAAACACCTGCTGCTGCAAAGGAATCACTCGAACTATAACCTGCTTAAACTTGTACAGATCAGTCAGTATGCTGTTCATGTCTGACTTACACCAACCTCGCACTGGGATGACACTCTGACACTTTTTTGTCTAAGCAAGGAAATTTACATTTAACATTATCTGGTTGTTAGTCTTCATTAACTTTAATCCATGCAAGATGCCATGGTCCTGAGTCTGACGACTTAGTGTTTTGGGTTTCTTTACATTATTCTGTGTTCTTGTTTATTCTGTTGTCTTTTGTTTAGGTTTGCTATGTGTTAGAGTTTTGTTTTATTACCTGCCTGTGTTCCCTGTCCACGGTGTCACTGTGTCTGCTTGTGAGTCGGTCAAGTTCATTGTCTTTTAGTTTCCTGTTTTATTCTGAAGGTCCTTGTCTCATGTGAGTGTGTTCACTTTACGTTCCCCCTGCCTTGTCAGCTGTGATTTCTCCCAGGTGTGTTCCCCTCCTCTCTCCCATCACTTGATTACTGCTGTGTGTATTTAAGCCCTGTGTGTTCTCCTGCCTGTTGCTGGTTCATCTGTGTTATTCCCCTCTGTCATCCTGAGTGGTTTCTGTGCGTCTGTCTGGGTCTCTCTGCCCTTCACCCCAGTTGGCTATCATTTCAGGTTTGCTCTTTAATAATTTCATCCTGTGAGCCGTGACACAAGAGAGCCAAAGACAAACTGTTAAGTGTCTAAATAAATAAATAAAAGTGTCAAACCAATTTTTTGTAGCAGAAATACAATTTTTTTTAAAACCAGTGCAAAACTTTTGTTTGGTTTATGTGAGGAGTTTGAGATGGAAGTGATGTCCTTTGTGTTTTTAAACAAGCTGAACACCAAGATAATTTTGAGAAGTCAGGTAAACACATACTACAGGTAAGATCTAGGTCTCTAAACATTTCTGCCACAATTCTGTTCATATACTCCTGTATCCACAAAACATTAATGTATTCCAACAGTATCCACGACAAAATCAATATTTCAGCAATTGAGGTTATTCTGCACAAAAGATTTGTTAACGAATGAATTATGAACAAAAGCCAAAATGCTGATACTATCTAAATTATTTCTGCACTACAGCATCCTCCAACTGCAAACTAGTCACCTGAGTTGCAAAGATCTTTTTCAGCACAAATCTGAGGACACGGTAAAAAGTAAGTACTGAGTATTCACTGCTTGTTCAAAACCATACTGCATGCTGCCACATGTTTGGAGAATCTGTCTTTATAAGCAAGTTCGTCACAGAAAAACCTAAAATCATTTTTTTTCTCTCCAGTCTTTGGTATTTTTAACAGAGTGATATTATGGCGGCAGCAGCACCTGGTGAGTTCAACCAGACTTCAGTGGTCTGCATGACCCATTGTCTAATCATATTGTAGCATGGTGAGATCTCATTGGTTATTGTCATGTAGAGGCAATGCAATACTGGTTCTGATGTTGGAAGAGAATATATGGAACAGGATACTAATAATATCTGTATTGTAAAGAGAAAAAAAGTTGATGAACATTTTCATTTTGCATTTGATTTTTTTTTTTCTAACAAACAAACAAATCTTATCTTCAGGTCATAAATCAGAACTGAATGAAATTTTCTTTTCTTTTAATAACAAACAAAACATCACATTCAGCAAAAATTGGAACTTCAACAACAGAAAGAAAATTCTGTCTGTTTAATGCATGTTCTTTGTGTTCACACACTTAACCTGCACCTAATATACAACAATATCATACTACAACTTAGTAGTATAAGAAGATAAGAGCAGTGCAATATGGGCGACAGTACCTACCCTGTGATCAAGTCTTCATAGATTTGTACTTTCTACGTATGTCACATGCCACCTAGTGTTCAAAGGGAGGAAGTGTTCTGTATTGCACATATTGTTTGATTGAATCTGAACACAGCAGCATAGGGACCACAAGCCAGTAGTGCTGTGGTAGTGTAATGTGCAATTCAATTCAGTTTTATTTATACAGTACCAAACCACAACAACAGTCACCTCAAGGCGCTTTATATTGTAAGGTAGACTCTACAATAACACATACAAAGAAAAACCCAATAATCATATGACCCCCCTATAAGCAAGTATAATGGTGGCATTTATTTTTTAGCTATTCTACATGAAAGATATCTATTGTTTAAAAAGATTTAATTTGCTTCAGCATTTGAAATGACAGGTAACAGGGCTGGACTTTGATGTGAACAGAGCAGCCTGCCTCACAACAAGGATAACTCTGAACCGGGCCGTTAATACTATGACAACAACAACTGCAAAAACAGCTTCACACACACATACACATCCGCTTTAGCCAGATTTCCACAGAGAAAAAAACTACACAGAGAGCTTACACACACACACACACACACACACACACACACACACACACACACACACACACACACACACACACACACACACACACACACACACGATTATCCAATCCCTTTCAATCTGACAGAGTGAGACAAAAAAAGCCCCACATGCATTAAACATCTGTAATTATATAAATATTGTACTGTTAAAGAACACTTACTGTTTTTTAAGGGGAGAATTGCCTCCTTCTTCAGTAACAATGATTGAGGTCACCACCAGTGACTACTGTAGTTATTGGCTCAATGTACAATGTAGTGTTATTAACAGTTTTCTTTGTTTTTTTCTTTATGTCGTACAATACTGTTTTCCATTCCCAACCAGTTTAATCCTTTTATTCAGCTTATTTTATCTAATTTAACTGTTAACCTGTTTTAATCTGACCTTTGACCTTAACCTTAGTCTAAACCTTATTTTTAAAATAAAAACCTTCCACAATTCTTGTATGAAAGCTGTTTTTATGCTAACACCTTAAAAACCAGTAAAAGCCTAACCTTAAACTTAACTTTAAAATAAAACTATTTGATTCTTCTTGACCAAACCAAAATCTCTCTCTTTTAACTTTAACCATAAGTCTTAAATTAAACCTTATTTTATAACCCTTTTCTCAACTTGTAATTACAACTTTATGCATTTAACATGTATCTTATCATATAAACACAATTTGACTGAGAGAACTTTGACTGCTCACATTTAAATTCAGTTTATGTCCATTCTTTGCAGCTTTCAGTATAAACAACAGACTCTGCTTACATTTATTTTGAAGGCCTTTTGTGAGTGTGACTCAGTTGTCTCCAGCTCTGGCATCTGACAGCAACTCCGTCAGGAGCCTTTTCAATTGTCTTTTCTCCTTTCTTCCAACCAAAATAAAATAAAAAAATTCACGTTGGGTCACCAATTTGTCATTTTCAACCCTTTCACACATAATAGAGTGGTCTCTAAGTGGACAGCTATTCAAAGGCTGTTTTCTTGTATTTGCATTAGTTTTGACAATATAGTTGCACATAAACATAAAACACCTGGATGACTGAGAACCTTCACAGACATAACACACAGTGTATATTATGTATTTGTTTGTCATACATTGTTTGTCATACATCAAAACGTGTTGTCCACCTAAGTGGACGTGTAAAAAACTCTTTGAAAAGTACATGTTTAAAAATGAATTTCAAAACTTTTTTTTTCATGCCTAAAGTTGAATACATAGAAGAATAGAATAGAATGGAATAATCCTTTAATTGTCCCACAGGGGGACATTTGGTTGTATCAGCACCACATATACAAACAGAACAGGACACAGAACAGAAACACATTTTTTACATACTTACATGATGGACAATAGTTACCAAAGCAGAGGACTGTACAGTTATTAAAAATTTGATTACAGATAAATGGCAAACCCAGGTTGTAGTGTGCAAACAGAACAGGATACTGAAAGATGTTTAAATAGTTAAGAATATTTAAGATAATTAGAAAAGTGCAGATTAGGGCTGGCTAATATGACCTAAAATCCATATTACGGTATAATTTAAAGCATGAAAACAGAATTTATTACATTTAATAGAGTTAGAAGTTAGCTCGCTAGTTTCCACCTAAACATGACATAGCATGTTGTGACTGAGAGTTTTCTGACAAAATTCAAACGTACAGCTCTGCTCTCACTTCCAACATAAATGAGGACAGAAAACTAAACAGCAGTGACGTTTGTAGGATTTCTGTTCTTTATAATCTGTGCCAGTGGGAGCATGTACAGGGAG